CCCGCCTTCCCCACGAATCATTTTTTCTTTCTTTAAATCTACAGTTACGTTGTGTCTTGGGACAGGCGCTTTACAGAATATTATTTTCACTTCGCCCATGCCGGAAGGGGAATTCGGCTATAGACAGTGAATGATCTTGACAGTTTTTTTTAGTGTTTTGACGTGCGTAATCCGCAGCTTGCACTGTATGCTTTCAGGAAAGCTGTAAATGTTTCTGAGACGTGTTCTAGGGTCTGCTGGGGTAAAAATAGTACTGTTGTAAAGAGGATGCTGAAGAGAGTAGATAAGCGCTATGTAGTTATCAGTAGTAGCATCAGCAGCAGTAGTAGTAGTAGTAGTAGTAGCCACAGCAGCAACAGCAGCATTTTTCCTGATTATTGCTATTAATATACCACTGTTATTATTACTCGTATTATCATCATCACCTTCATCATCATCATCATCATCATCATTATCATCACCATCATCATCATTATCATCATCATCATAGTAAGTAGAAGGAAATAAAAACTGGGGTTGAGACTTCGTAGATTTTTCAAATTTAATACAGGTTCAATTATTATAGCCACTATAATCATCATCATCATTATGATTGTCATTATCACTATTATTATTATTATTATTATTATTATTATTATTATTATTATTGTTGTTGTTATCGTCATCATCATCATCATCATTATCACGATACCTGGGTTGGGCCTACAGGTGACAGCGGCCGCCTCAGAGAGCGAGCAGTCGTGTTGGGAGCTGTAGGAACACTCTTGAAGGCGCTCCTCGCCGCCAGAGCACCGCACCTCGTCCATGAGAATGTAGCGGGACTGAGACGGCTGACTGCCTTCCATCTTGTTCAGAGAGAGGGCACCGCTGGAGAAAGAATCGAGAATGAACTGGGGGAGTTTTTTGTTGCTTTTTAATTTGTATAAAGCATTTCGCTTGGTTCTGCTGTGTTTTGAACATGTTTTGTTTGTTAAGATAGTTTTCCGATGAGGGAGGTGATAGTTTTATTTTGTTTGTTTGCTGGTTGTTGTTGTTGTTGTTGTTTGTTTTTGTATTTGATCTCTTGGTGCTGAGAATTTGATTTGGGCGGGAACGGGTAAAGGGGGGGG